CGCGTGCAGGGTATTCCGTACACGTGTGTATTGTGTATGGCGTGTGCGTTTTGGAATGCAGAACGTACGGAAAAGGCATAATAAAAGCAGTATTTTGAAAGTGATTGTGATCTCATTGTGCGTGTTTATTTTAGAAATGCATTATGATTTGCTTAGTTCCAGCCGCAATGCAAACTATTTCGATCTGCTCAGAAACAGCTCGCGGATAACGATGTGACGAAAAATCATGCGATAAACTAACCATTGAAGTGAAGCCGTTCTTTCATATCGGGTTGGGGAGTTTTTGATATCTCGTTGAAATGTGTGATTATCTTAATGCTGACGTAAACCTTTGAAAATGGTTTAAGGGATTATCGTCTTTCGTTTTTCAAATTTCCAGGTAAAACTGTTGTAAATTGCGAATATGTTTGCATCATTATCGGCACGAGGGCGAGTCTGACGATAGGATATCAAAGGGAACGCGGTAACAGCGAGTTCCATCCACGCAGTCGCCACGACTCAGAACCTCGCACATTTTAGGATCAGCATAAATGTGAGATAAATTTTTCACCTGGAGCCGCGAGGAGTCGTCTCGCTGTTTGTGTTGAGGGGGGGTGAGGGGGTGGAGGGAGCGAGGGGGGGTGACGCAAACCCAAACGACCGTTACGATTCACACTCAGACTCACGAAAAGGAAGAGGAATGCGCTTACTCTTTGTCTTCTGTTAGATTTATTTAGTTGACAAATGTTATTGCGAAGTTCCCATCCCACGTTGCAAATGCAGGTGAATCACAAAGACTCTAGTTTTTTTCTATGCGTTAGACACTGCATAAAAGTACAAGGCAGCAGTGCATTTAATCGTACGTGCCGACGCAGAAGCACCTTGCCTCTTGCTCGTGCTCGCTCCCCCCCCTCCCCCCCACGCACCCACAGCCAAGATCACCGGCGCTTTTGTCCTCAGACTGACGGGGACGGTAAATCTGGCATTCGTCACTGTTGGAGAAAAGAAAAAGGAAAAAAAAAACACACGAATCTTGATATGAATTTATCCGTCTGGAGATAATTATCAAACTTTTTTTTTTTTTTTTTTTTAAGAGACGAGACAGCGATTCGACATCGAGGCATCGACATGAAATCTTCTCGCGTGAAGATTTTGTCCAAGAATGTTAGTGTAAAAAAAATGCGTCTGTACACTCTCTACCTACCGTATAGTGTAGGTAAGAAATAAATACACAAATTAAGATTTATACGCATAGATAACACAGACAAATCGACGAATATTTCAATCCCAAAATAAATAATCAACCGACAGAAATTGAAATCATGAAAGCCTTACATCTGAGAGTTCAGTCGGAAGAGACACGAGAACCATCGCTTTGCAGATATACGCCGGATATATATATATATGAAAGACGAAGCGTGAAGTGCTAAAGGAGCCGCGGAGATAAAGCGTGCAGGGGTGAATGTACAAATTTGTTATTATGTGCCGTGGCCGTGAGAGATGGTGGCCAGAAATGCTCGCTCGAAAATTCATTTGCGACTCTGTATAATAAACTGGGCATTTCTTTGCATTCCGCTCACTTCTGAAATGTTATTTCGTTTGTCATTTGATTTTCTCTCTCCCTCTCTCTCTCTCTCTCTCTCTCTCTCTCTCTCTCTCTCTCTCTCTCTCTCTCTCTCTCTCTCTCTCTCTCTCTCTCTCTCTCTCTCTCTGTACATGTCTACATCTACATCTATTGTCTCACTCTTATATATATATATATATATATATATATATATATATATATATATATATATATGTATATAGAGAGAGAGAGAGAGAGAGAGAGAGAGAGAGAGAGAGAGAGAGAGAGAGAGAGATTGATAGATAGATAGATAGATTGATAGATTATAGATATACAGCTATATAAACATAAACATAAAATATATAAATATACATATATACATATACATTAATTTATATATATGTATACACGCACACACACACACACACACACACACACACACACACACACACACACACACACACACACACACACACACACACACACACACACACACACATATATATGTATGTATATATATATATACATATATATATGTATATATATGTATGTATATGCATATATATATGTATGTATATATATATATATATATATATATATATATATATATATATATATATATATGTATGTATGTATATGTATATATATATATATATATATATATATATATATATATATATATATATATATATATATATATATATATGTATGGAGAGAGGGAGATGGTAGAGGCACATATATAGATTTAGATATGCATATGGCAATGTTGATCACGAGTAGCGATGCATCTGTGTCTAGAAGAGTCATGATGCTTGAGTTGGCGCTGAAACAATCTCTCCTCCCGTCTTGCCACATCAATCGAGACTGATGTTTATATCCATTTGTTGTCCTTTCTTGTGCTATGCCGTCATTTCTCCTTTGGTTAATAGGTTGTGCAGTCGTCATAATATTTTTAGGTATCTAGTAGTCAAGTGTACTACCTAAATACTAGAGCAGGGGGAAATCCGCACACATATGCACACAGTAATTCCTATATGATTATTACAAGCAGTTACTGATATGGAGAGTGGGAGGTAAACTTGGGAATTATATTTTCAATGTGTCATGTCTAATGACATTTTCTCTCCTTTAATCAAGGGGGGTATCAATAATTTTCAAGGGGCCTTGGAAAAAAATAATCTACCATTCTCTCCATCCCAAATCAATCATTCCTTTGAAGATTTAAAAAGGATATGATTTTTATCTCTGATAAGTACTGACAACAGGATATACATTTTTTTTCCTTTTGGCTGATAAAGGATGGAGTTGAGACCATTTACGCCTTAAGAGGAGGCCACACTAGTCAGTTTTATCTAGGGATTCCTTTACAGAGTGGGATATTTCCCCAGCTGTGAAGGGAAACGAAATGAAAATCCCTGCCTAAAATGACACTGTTGTGTTGGTCTTTTGCCCCTGGTAGAGAGGGAAAGATGATGAAAAAAAAGTAAAATTACTAGAAAGCATATTACTTCATTGTCTAAATGGTGATTATAACATCATGCTAATATAACCGTACTGCAAATATAAGTAATACATATTACAAATATGATGCATGTCTACCGGTGTCGCTGTCATTTGATGTATAATAGTAATTTTTTTTTTCTGTCGATATGCAATGGTATCCATAGAATTCATGACATATTTAGTGCATAGTTCATCCAGGTTAACTGTAGACATTTTGCTTTTTCCTGGGACGAAGTTTCTCTACGAAGGGACACTAATTTATGACCAATCCCACTCTATTGCTGACAGACACTCATCGTGGCTGTCTAGGGTTCCCCAAACAGAAAAGACTAATATGACTAACAGTACACGGGGATCCCTAGACAGCCAGCCAGTGATTGTGACCAATCCTGCTCTGCTCCCCCCATGGAGAAATTTCATCCCAGAGAAGACCAAAGTGTTTATAGTTAACCACCTGGATGAAGATAGTCATGTTTCCAATAAATATTGATAGGAATCAAATTTAACTGAGTGAAAGAAAAATCAAGGAAGGAGACACTAAGCAGAAAAGCCAATTCACCCATTTTATTCATTATCATACATCATACAACCATGCCAGCTACCCTAATACTCTTTATTTCAATAGAAATAGAAAACCGGACAATTTTCTTTCCAACAGCATATACCACTGTTTGTGTAGTCAGTAATGTATGAGAGATGAAAATATGGACTGATAAATACTAAAGTTGGGAGGAAGCTGCCAGTCGTACGATTAAACCCATGAAAAGCAAAGTTTCTTGCTGATTTCACCCATTATTGTTATTCTGAACTTTCTACTATCATGATATTTGTGGATGATATTCCATAATTGTTCTATGACTCACTTTGTTCACCAGGACGTAAATAATGTTTGAAATGGCCTGCGTGTCTTCAGCTATTGAAGTGTGTGTTTGCATTCCACATCAAATGGATGTTTATAAGGATAATTTTTTAAGAATTAGTGAGATACATTTTGAGTTTCATATGTATTATTAATTTATGCAGTACAATTGTACCTAACATATAATAATCACCATTTAGACAATCAAGTAATAGGCTTCCCAGTAATTATACTACAGTTTTGAAATTGGCATCCTCTTCCCCTCTCTCGTTGGGGCGAGGGACCAACACAACGGTGACGCGCTGGGAAGGGATTTTTATCGCCCTTCCCTTCACAGCTGGGGAAGTATCCCGCTCTGTAAAGGGATCCCTAGACAGAATAGACTAGTGTGACTGCCCCTCTACGCTCCACAGCAAGTAATTCACTCCACACTCGTAATATATTTAGAGAGATTATACTTTTTAGTCCCATTTCATACCTGGGGGAAATCACTTCTTCCCCGCCATTGTGGAATTCACTCTTCCTTTCCACTTTGCATTAAATCATTTTTCAACTCCTATTCCGCATATAAAGCTACGGTCACACTAGTAACTTATATGAGGAGATCTCCCCCTACACATGAACACCAGCTATTATCGTAGACGGGGATGTGGTCACACTTGTCCTCAAGAAAGAACCATCGTCCCCGCGCAGCGGTGACGCCGATAGTAAACAAACCACCATGGAGCTTTCCTCCGAATATGAGTTTTGTGGCTATTTTTCAGCTATTACAGCGCTTACACAGTGTGCATTAGCCCTTGCCTTTTCTCCAGAAAAGCGTAAGTAATTTTGGATGAGAGCTCCATTATGCCAATCCTGCTGAATGTTTGTGTTTACGTTCGATGGTCAAGCGAGTAACCCTTCAATAATCTATTCATTCTAATAAAATATTGTACATAATTATTTAAATTACTTATATTTATTTGAGAGAGGTTTATTTATGTACTGGTTATTATATTTAATATTTAAAAAAAAGATAAATTATAAAATAAACATTATAGTTTTTGTTTTGATAAGATCTCTCCCCCACTAGCGAACGACCAAACACCAACACAGCGGTGTATTGGTTTTCCATCGCTAGCTGTGAGGATCGCCCGCTAGTTGCAGACGTTTTCTATATACACATGGGGATCCCTAGCTACAAGTTACTAGTGTGACCAGGGCTTAAGGAAGTCACACTCGGCTCCCATTTTCTATATGGGGAATTCGCTCCAACTCCACATTTGGGGATTTTACTCTTCACCCCCCCACTACACATTGAAAAAAACTGACTCTCATTCTACTGTCGGGGAATTCACACCCAACTCGGAATTTGCAAAACTTACTCTTCAATTCTTACTCTGTACTTGGGGAAATCACTCTTCACACGTCAGTTGGAGAATTAATTCTTCGTTCCCACTCTATAACACTAACATCCACTCTCCAACTCCACATCTGGAAAATTCACTCTTCATTCCCACTTCACGCCAGAAGCACTCTCCAACTCCTACTCCCCACCAGAAGCATTCACTCCAACTCCCACTCCACACCAGAAGCATCCACTCTCCAACTCTCACTCTACACCAGAAGCATTCACTCCAATTCCCACTCCATGCCAAAAGCATTCACTCCAATTCCCACTCCACGCCAGAAGCATTCACTCCACCTCCCACTCCACACCAGAAGCATTCACTCCAATTCCCACTCCACGCTAGAAGCATCCACTCCCAATTCCCACTCCACACCAGAAGCATTCACTCCACCTCCCACTCCACACCAGAAGCATTCACTCCAATTCCCACTCCACGCCAGAAGCATTCACTCCACCTCCCACTCCACACCAGAAGCATTCACTCCAATTCCCACTCCACGCCAGAAGCATCCACTCCCAATTCCCACTCCACACCAGAAGCATTCACTCCACCTCCCACTCCACACCAGAAGCATTCACTCCAATTCCCACTCCACGCCAGAAGCATTCACTCCAATTCCCACTCCACGCCAGAAGCATTCACTCCCAATTCCCACTCCACGCCAGAAGCATTCACTCCAATTTCCACTCCACGCCAGAAGGATTCACTCCACCTCCCACTCCACGCCTGAAGCATCCACTCTCCAACTCCCACTCTGCACCAGAAGGGCCCACTCTCCAACTCCCACTCCACACCAGAAGCATCCTCTCCAACTCCCACTCTGCACCAGAAGGACCCACTCTCCAACTCCCACTCCACACCAGAAGCATCCACTCCAACTCCCACTCCACACCAGAAGCATCCACTCCAACTCCCACTCCACACCAGAAGCATCCACTCTAACTCCCACTCCCACTCCACACCAGAAGCATCCACTCTCCAAATCCCACTCCACACCGGAAGCATCCACTCTAACTCCAACTCCCACTCCACACCAGAAGCATCCACTCCAACTCCCACTCCACACCAGAAGCATCCACTCCACCTCCCACTCCACACCAGAAGCATCCACTCCAACTCCCACTCCACACCAGAAGCATCCACTCCAACTCCCACTCCACACCAGAAGCATCCACTCTAACTCCAACTCCCACTCCACACCAGAAGCATCCACTCTAACTCCAACTCCCACTCCACACCAGAAGCATCCACTCCAACTCCCACTCCACACCAGAAGCATCCACTCCAACTCCCACTCCACACCAGAAGCATCCACTCTCCAACTCCACACCAGAAGCATCCACTCTCCATTTCCCACTCCACACCAGAAACATTCACTCCAATTCCGACTCCACACCAGAAGCATCCACTCTCCAACTCCCACTCCACACCAGAAGCATCCACTCCAACTCCCACTCCACACCAGAAGCATCCGCTCCATTTCCCACTCCACGCCAGAAGATTTACTCCAATTCCCACTCCACACCAGAAGCATCCACTCCAACTCCCACTCCACACCAGAAGCATCCACTCCAACTCCACCTCCCACTCCACACCAGAAGCATCCACTCTCCAACTCCCACTCCACACCAGAAGCATCCACTCCAACTCCCACTCCACACCAGAAGCATCCACTCCAACTCCACCTCCCACTCCACACCAGAAGCATCCACTCTCCAACTCCCACTCCACACCAGAAGCATCCACTCCAACTCCCACTCCACACCAGAAGCATCCACTCCAACTCCCACTCCACACCAGAAGCATCCACTCCAACTCCCACTCCACACCAGAAGCATCCACTCTCCAACTCCCACTCCACACCAGAAGCATCCACTCCAACTCCCACTCCACACCAGAAGCATCCACTCCAACTCCAACTCCCACTCCACACCAGAAGCATCCACTCCAACTCCACCTCCCACTCCACACCAGAAGCATCCACTCTCCAACTCCCACTCCACACCAGAAGCATCCACTCCAACTCCCACTCCACACCAGAAGCATCCACTCCAACTCCACCTCCCACTCCACACCAGAAGCATCCACTCTCCAACTCCCACTCCACACCAGAAGCATCCACTCTCCATTTCCCACTCCACACCAGAAGCATCCACTCCAACTCCCACTCCACCCTCCACAACTGGAGAATCGACACGGAGTAA